TGACCCCGGGCCTCTGGGCCTCGGCGCGAGTTGGTACCTGCCCCCGAGTTGGGCGCTTTCTCCTTCTGGCTAGCGGCGTCCGCTTGGGAAGGCGCCCAGAAGGGCACCCGCGCGTCCCTGTGCGCAGCGGCCAGGTTTAGGACCCTGGGCGGCCATTTGGAAATGGTGTGCTCCAAGGAAAACGAGTTTGTCCTCTGTGGCTCTTTCTAGCAAATTGGACTGGACATGCGAGCCAGGCAAGGCGCGTTCGGCTTCGAGCGCCGGGAAAAACCAGCGGACTCCTTTGGAGGTAGTTCATCTGGAAAAATTGTGGGTGACTTTAACGCAACTGTTGGCGCCAGAACAAACGTCATGTGGTGCCCATGGCAACCTTACTTGGAGTAAGAGTTGGCTAGGTGGTGGTGGTTGATTTTTTCGTATTGGGATATGCTGACTTACAAACTAGTAAATTAGTAAAAGTACAGAACTGGGGAATCTGTTGTATACTCCATGATTTCAGCCCCAATCCCATCATCTGAAGGAGCCCTGGTGGTGCAGTGGTTAAAGCACTCGGCCAAGAGCCAAGTTGACTGGTTCACATAGTCTGTCTCAGTAAACCTGCACAGCGGGGACACCCTGTGGGGGCAGTTCTACCCTGCCCTACAGTGTGACTGTGACTCAGAATCCGCAGGAGGAAGGGGGCTTCGTATTTGTTAGGGTGTTTTCGTTCTTGGTGGTGGCTTCGTGGCTGAAGCACTTGGCTGCTGAGGGAAAGGTCTCCAGGCCTGCAACTAGAGCCCAGCAAGCAGCCCTGAGTTCTGGCGGGAGAGAGACGTGGCAGTCCGGTTCTGCGAAGATTTACAACCTTGGAAACCCAAGGGGTAGCTGTACTGTGGCCATAACAGGCTTGTGAGGAGTCCAAATCGACTCACGGGCAGTGGGTTTGGGATCCTCATCTGCACTAAGCGGGATAAAGCCATTGCCAGTGAGGACCAGACAGATGGCAAGCTATTACATAGTGTAGCTTTCCCATGTATTTTTGTTTTAATGTGACGAGCTCTTCTATTTTCCCATTACTAAATCACACTCTTTTAACATCCCCCCAAAATAAACTAAACGATGTTAAGAGCAAAATCTCCAAAGGCATCATCTACCCGAACAATTTCATATACTATTACTCGTGTTGGTGCTGTTTGGCGCTGACAGGCGGATGTGCGTGTGTTCAGAGTGGAAGCGCTCCAGAGAGTTTTCAAGGCTCTGCCCTTTCAGAGGCCGATGGATGGCCCTGCATTACAAGGTGCCTTTCTGGGTGGCTTCCAACAGGCGACCTTTCTACTGGGAGGGAAGAACTTAACTGGTTGTGCTTCCCGGGACTGGGCGGGGGGGGGGGGTCACTTTTCAGATTTTTAACCTTAACTCTTCTGACTGAGAAGACTACTCTAGATCCAGTCTTACAGGTTTCTTCTCCACTGCCAGGCTGCAACCAGGCCTCCCCAGGGTTATTCGGTCTGTGCGGTGGCTCTGGGTAAGCCTCTGGATGGCCTTGAATGAATTTACCAGCAGCTCACAGAGCATGTGCCTTGATGGAGGAGGGGCTAATAGTATCACCACCAAGCGTGAAGTCAATATATGAGTCCATATAGTATATAGTCATCCAATAAATAGAAGTAACAATAAAAAAGGCTCATAAAAATTCAGTTATCTTTTAATTGCATTTTCAAGGAACTTTTTGAAGTCCCCTCCTATAATTTTTTACAGGCTTATTAAATATTATTAATTATTACTGTCATTAATCACCAGCTCTCATCTCTTTGTTTGCCATACTTAAGTAACTGAGATGTTGGGAGCTATGTTACCAGTATTTCAAATACAGCCAGGCCACCCTCAATGGGCTTCATCAGAGCTTCTGGTGTAAGGACAGACTAGAAAAAGGAAATGACTGCAGCACACCTCTCAGGAAATAGCCACTGCAAACGTCATGAATAGTTGCCAACCATCGTCAGAGATAGGGTACGAAGTTGCATTCCATTAGCTGGTGGGCGGGACTCAAAAGGAAAAGAAACAGCTGTAAATATCCATTACATAATTGGAAGATGGGACAAATAATATATAAACATAGTGAAACTGGATGCCTTCAGAAAATGAAATGGAATGCATGATGATTGATAGAACTGATTAAAAAAATTCAAACTTCAAATTGTTAGTGAAGCATTCCATGTGCAACATATTGAACGAGCAGGTAACACCAAAGAAAGCTGGCAATAATTTAGAGTCACTGTCCCACAAAGAACCGGTTGATGTTCAGCTATGGAAGGAAGATGACCAAGCTGCACTGATGGCATTCGTGAACCAGAAGATTCCAGGATTTGAAAGAATACCAATTAAAATGTTACAACAAGCACTGGAAGCACTAACTAGTATTGAGTAAGAACTGACTGGAAGAGATCCATGATTGATCCGTGATCGTGCCCATCTCAAAGAAAGGTGACCCGACACAGTTGTGAACTATCCCATAACCATTAATATCACACGCCAGTAAAAGTCTGCTGAACATAACTCAAAAATGCCTGGAGCAGTGCATCGACAAGGAGTCGCCAGAAATCCAAGTCAGATTCAGGGATGTGAAATGAGGGCTATTGTGGCTGGTGTCAGATGAATCTTGGCTGAGAACAGAGAACATGAGAAAGATACTTACTTGCGTTTTGTTGGGTATGCAAAGATATTCAACCGTGTGGATTATAACATTATGGGCAATACTCAGAAGAATGGGATTCCAGCATAATTAACTGTGCTATTGTAGAACCTGACCGTGAACCACGAGTCAGTGGTATAGTAGAAGGGCACACTGCCTGGTTTCAAATCAGCAGAGCTGCCCACCAGTGTTGTATCCTTCACCATTCTTGTTCAGTCTATATGCTGAGCTCAAATAATTTGAAAAGCTGGAAGGTATGAAGAAGGACACCATCAGGTTTAGGGGGAGGTTTAATCAGTTATCTGCTGATTGCTGAACGCAAAGAGGGCATAAAGAATTTCCTAATGAAAATAAAAGCCTGCATCCTTCAATATGGGTTGCAACTTAATGTAAAGAAAACCCAAATCCTCACAAATGGACCGATAGACAACACCATGTTCAAATGGAGAAAAGACTGAAGTTGTTAAGGATTTCACTTTACTTGGATCTCTAATCAATGAGCATAAAAACAGCAGGCAAAACCATTGCAGATATGCTATACAAACCTCTTTAAGTGGGAAAGAGGAAAGACGTCACTTTGAGGTATTTTTCAGTTGTGCACGACCCATGATATTTTCAAACACCTCATATACATGTAAACAGGGAACCATGAGTAAGGAAGACTGCAGAAGAGTTGATGCATTTAAATTGTGTGTTGGAAAGAATATTGAAAGTACCATGGAACTCTTAGGAGAACACACAACTCTGTCTTGGAAGAAGCACAGTTGGTACGATCTTGGCAACAAAACTGGTGAGACTTTCACCTCCAGATACTTGGCACATCAGACTTGGTAAAGTAGAGAGCCAGTGAAAACGAGGATGGCTTTTAATGAGACGAACAGACGTAGTGGCTGCAACGACAGCGCAAACATAATCAGCACTGTGAGGATAGCTCGGAGCCGCCAGCAGAATATTCTGTGGTCCATAGGCTCACGATGGGTCGGAGCCTCCAGGATGGGGCCTAACAACACCATCATTAAATGGCTAAAAGAAAGAGTTATGCCCAATTGCATCCAGAAAATAAAAGTCTTGTGTTTTCTTTGAAAATGTTTATGAAAACAAAAGCCTAATAAACCAAACTCACTGCCATCGAGTTGCTCCTGACTCTCAGCCACCCCGCAAAGAAGAGGAGAGTTACTCCTTTGAGTTTCAGAGCTTGTACATTTTTCTAGGAATGGATGAGTTCACCTGCCTCCCGTGGAGCAGCAGGTACGTTTGAATTTCAGACCCTCGGGCTAGCAGCCCCAGGTATAACCACCTGTACCCACAGAGCTCCTCAACGTACCATAGTACCTACCTGAAGCTGGTCACACCTTCACAGCTCCCTACAAAGAAGACCCACATCCTCACATCCAGACCCACAGTTAACATTTTGATAAAAGGAGAACAGACTGGAGTTGTCAAGGATTTTCGCCTTGCTTGGGTCCACAATCGATGCTCATGGAAGTTGCCATCACGAGATCCAATGCCAGGAAATCTGCCGCACCAGATTTCCTCAGAATGCTAAAATGCAGGCATGTTACTTTGAGGGTTAAGGTGCACTTCACCCAAGCCATGGTATTTTTAATCACCCCATTTTCATGGGAGAGAGTTGGACATTGATAAGGAAGATGAAGAAGAATTGATGCGTTTGAATTGTGGGGCTGGCGAAGGATATTGGAAATGCCATGGACGGCCAAAGGACATGCAAGTCTGTTTTGGAAGAAGGATGGCCAGAGCGCTCCTCAGAGGCAAGAGTGGTGACACTTTGTCTGAAATACTTTATGTCAGGAGGGAGTAGTTCCTAGAGAAGGCCATCAGGCTTGGGAAAGCAGAGGCACTGTGTCAAAGAGGGAGATCCTCTGGGAGAGGGAGAGGCACTGTGGCCTCAGCATAGAACCATCGTGAGGAAGTGGTAGGACCCAGGAGTGTTGCCTTCTGATGTGCAGAGGGTCGCTCTGGGTCAGAACTGGCTTCATGGCACCTAACAACCATTATGGTTTAAACTTGATTACACACATTGGATTAACTAAATAATCTCCTGGACATCAGTTTCCCTCTGTGACACATAAGGAGCTTGGATTACATTTTTGGCCTGTGAATTAAAATGAGGACTGAATTTCTTTCTTATCTACTTGGAGGCTTTGTGGACCAGATCCTCTCCCATTGCTCGGGCACTCGGACCTGCTCTGAAGTCTCCCTCTGCTGTAGCACTGTCACAGGCATGCTGCCCTTCCCTCGTCTTTGCGCGGTGTACAGCGAGGGAAGAGACTACTTCAGAATTCAAAATTCATTTTTATATTTTCGATGTCTGTCATGGTTCCCAAAGTGCAGTGGTGATCAAAAAGCAACAGACAATAGTAAAGGAACTCACACGTGTCAGAGATTTAAACAATGTTCATGTACGATTTAAATAGTGCACTGAGACTCCGTTTATATAAGCCTAAGATTTGGTCCCAAGAAAGGATAGTCTACAGAATACAGCCATTGGTTGCTGGCCTTTCTTTTCTTCTGCACACTTGATAGAGTCTCTTCAGCGGCCATAGGTCACTGAGACAGGAAGGCAAGGAAGAGGAAAGAAAGATGTATGAAAAAGCTCA